GAGGGAGGGAGCGAGGGAGGGAGTGAGCGAGGGAGAAGTTCTCTTGCTCATGGGCAGAGAAATCCTGCTCGCTCTCATCTCCTGGCCAAGCAGCCCCCTGCCCCCAAGCACAGCTCCCGAGCCGGCTGCTCCAGCTTTTTCTATCAGTGCTGCCTGCAGGAAGGCTCTCCCCTCACTCCGAGCTGTCACACCCCTGCGCAGCACCCCAGGTACTGCTCAGTTTCAGGTGCTTCTCAGCTCCCTGTTACCCCCCTGCCTGGCTGATAGCCTGGCTGGCCTAGAAGGCATCTGGGTGTGCGGGGTGGCCCTGCTGTGTGCCTTGGGGCCAAGGAGTGAGCTGCCTCTTGAGGAGTCTTGCTGTGACCTGCAGCCACCCTGCCCCTGTCGTTATGCTGCGCACCGAGTCTCTGTTTGCTCTCTTGACGGCAGCAGGAGCCAGCAAAGCAACAAAGCACTGGTCTGTCCCTGATGCTCCCCTCCACACCTCAGATTGTCCCTCTTGTCCCCTCCAAGTGCAGGCAGAGGGGGGTGGCTGCTGGGTCTCACCCTCTGCCATCGTGTTAGGGCTGATGGAGGTCCTGCCCGACGACTGTGTCCAGGTGGGCAAGAAGGAGCTGATGTACACCGGTTCCGTGGGGCTCATCATCTACCTCGGCGGTGTCATCTTCATCAACAGGAAGAGCACCACCAGCGCCAAGATGGTGATGGCAGAGGTGGCCAAGACTATGACAACTGAAAATGTGAGTGTGACTCTGGCATTTGGTGAGGTTGACGTGTGGCTGGGCGTCCTGGGGTGACGTGGGGGCATGTGGAATTCCTGGTGCTGGCTTGCCTGCAGTTACAGCTCCCAGCATCTCTTGGTGGGGCTGGCTGGTGGCTGGGCCAGCAGGAAGGGAACCTGTAAGTGGATTGCTGGAGCAGAACCTTATCTCCCCGTGTGCAGGTGAAGGTGTGGGTGTACCCAGAGGGCACAAGGAACTGCACTGGGGATTTGCTGCCGTTCAAGAAAGGAGCATTTCACCTCGCCGTCCAGGCACAGGTAATAGCGCTTTGCTCCTCCACGGGGACCCTGAATGTTTTTGCAGTGGCATTGCAGAGGGGTCATGCAGCGATGTGGTTTATGTGCTCTCAGATGAGCTCTGTTCCCAGGTCACAGCTGAGCTCCTCGACTAAACCCCCCTTAGGTGTGATCAGTGCAGGAGCCAAGGGCCTTTTCCATCCCCTGCAGGAGTGACTTGACCCCTGTGGACGGGTGGAGAAGCTGCCTTGTCCCCTCCCCTGGCCGCCCCAGCACTGCAGTCCCTGTGTCCCATCTGGAGGACAGAGCGTGGGGGACAGGCAGCACTTGGGCTTTGCAGGCAGCTGCCTGGCAGCGTGGCGGTGCAGTGTCTGCAGCACAGAGCTTGCTTCTGTCAGGGAGCCCAGCGGGGGCTGCGCTTTGTGAGCTTGCCTGGGGCATCCCGAAGCTGTTGATGCATTTCTCAATCCCCCAGGTTGCAATAGTGTAGTGTTGATTGAGGATTGGCAGTGCCAGGGCTGGGCTTGGTCTGTGTGGAAATAGCTGCTCCCTCCCAGACAGCCATACAGTATTTCTTGGTATGTCTTAAATGCCTTTTCTCTCCAAAATGACGAGATCTGTGAGCTGTTAGTGGTGGAGCAGACAAACAGCTCCTTGGCTCTGGACAGCTAGAGCTGTCAGTGCCGCTGAGAGAGCGGTGGTGCGTGCCCGGGCAGGGCTCTGGGGCAGTGTGCCAGCGGCACTGCGGGCCTGGCTCTGCTCCCCGCGCCCCGGCGGCTGCTGGAAGCTTGGACCACCCTGCTCGGCTCCTGGGTGCTGGCGACTATGTGCCAGGGAGGTGGCTGGGAGGAAGGAGATGGGCGCTCTGCCTTCCCACATGTGCTTGGCCTCGAATCTTGGGACTGGGATGACTCGAGACCTGAGGGAAAACTGCTTTCCCTAGAAGAGGTGTTACAGCAGGGATCCTGGGAAGGGAGTAGGTGCCAGATCTCTTGCTGGGTTCAACTGGCCAAGCCCAGGGTGTAGCCTGGGTTGTACCATCCTCATTCCTGCTGGCGTGACACAACCCAGGCAGGGGCTGGCAGCTGCTAGAAGGAAGAGAGTGGAAATGGTACCCACCTCTGCTAATACTCCCCCTGAGTCACCGACTGCAGATCCTGTCTGTGTTATTAGCACTGAGATAATGACTCTGTGCCTGCCCTCCTGGCTGTGTCTCTGCCTGTCTGACGCTTCCCTGAGAGCAATTGATTGAGACTGGTGACTCCTTTTTTTAGACACTGAAGGCACACCAGCCGGCCTCCCCCAGATATGTGCCTGTACAGCACAGCAGGACCTGTCAAAACAGGCACCCTCCAGATGTTTGCAGGTCACAGAATAGGTACCTGAGTTTTGAAGTCTGGCTTGGGACAAGACGCCCTGAAACATAACTTGGAATGTCCCTGTACCTTGAGTTGCTGGGGAGTAGTTTTGATCCCATCTGACTCCTGACTCTCCCAGCCTTTGGAAGCAGGTCTTGCCTCGTGAGTGTCTGAGTGTCTGAGAGCTGGGCCAGGTCAGATCTGCTGCGTGGGATTTGCTGCTTACCTCTGGCCTGCCCTGAGTTGCTGCAGTGCAAGTAACTCCTCTTTTTCTTCTTCCCCAAGGTCCCGGTGATCCCTGTGGTTTATTCCTCCTTCACTACCTTCTATAACCCAAAGAAGAAGCTATTTACATCAGGTATCAAAGAGCCTAAGTGTCTTTACAGTCACTTGGAGACAGGGCTGATGCCATAGCCATGTGGGGATCTGGTTCACTAGCGTGGGAGAGGGGAGCAGAGCTGGGGTAAACAGGAGTCATTCCTCCGGGGCATGTGTGGAGTCGGTTGAAAGCACTTGGCACCAGAGCCTGGGCTGGGTTAACTCAGAAAAGAATGTAATTAAATACAGTGAGAGATGTTGTCATTAAAAAATGGACACCACCTCTCCTTCTCATAACTGGCACAACCCAAGTCTTTTGGTGAGGCTTTGGGGGAAGGAGCCAGCGTGCTCTGCCTCCTGACCCTTCAAAGCAGGGACCCCTCTGTGAGCAAACCGAGGAAGCTGGTTGTATCAAAGCTCTGGAGTCTGTCAGTGCAAGTGCTGGGCAGAAAGTTGGCTTGCAGTCAGCTTGGAGCAGTAACTCTCATTTTTGGGCAAAAGCCATGCTTGCTGTGCTCCCTTCCCACGTGGCTGGAGCCCCCCAAAGGTAGGAGGGCTGGAGGGGGGCAGGTGGAGGGAGCACCCGGTCAGGCTGTGCCTGGCACGGCCCTGGAGCTGAGCAGGTCCGTGGCCCTGGGTTCCTCCGACTCTTCTGGCCAGCAAGTGCGAGCAGAGCGGCCACCAGCCTTGGAAGGGGGCAAGTTCTTGCTGGGGTGTCAGTTTGGGGCAGAAGGGTGGCACAGCTGCTCAAGGGCAGGGTTGGATCCCAGAGCAGCCCCTCAGCCCTGAGAGGGGTGCGGCTCTGCCTGCGCTCCCTCCTGAAGCCCTGTGAGGGGCTGAGAGCTGTGCTGGGGGCTGGCCAGGGCGGGGGGAGCAGGGGGCTTTGAGGGGCCGAGAACAGCATTCCTGGGGCGTGAGGGTTTCTCACAAGCTCTTCTCTTGTTCCCAGGCAAAATCAAGGTTGAGATTCTACCTCCAATAGAGACCAAAGGCCTGACATCAGACGATGTCTCCGACCTCACTGACAGATGTTTCCGTACCATGAGGGAGACCCTTTTCAGGCTGTCGGGCCGTCCAAGTGAGGCCAAGGACTCATCCTAGATGCTTCTCCAGTGGCGTCACTGTGTGGCGGTGGCTGAAGGGACCCGTCTGTTGCCAAATACTCAAGGAACTTCTCTTCCTCTGCAGCGACTTCGAACTCTGGGATCACCACGGACTGGCACACACACGGGGTATCAAGCCAGCGCTGAGGTTCCCCATTGAGTGGATTTCTCCCGTGGATTCATTATCTCGCAATGAACCGTCTTCTTTTTCTGAATTTCTCAGGCGTCAAACTTGTGCTACCAAAGGGCTCAATGACCAGAGAGGTGAGTTCCCCCAGCTCAGGCAGCTGATGTGGGGTGACAATGAAAACCTGGCTGGAGGCAGGGCTCTGCCTCACGTCAGTGCCCCTGCACCCGTGTTTGTGCCGGCCTGGCCCTACCCTGATGGAAACCACCAGGCAGCAGTTTGTATCTGCACAACCTTGATGCTGCTCGAACGCGGCTGAGAATCCGGTGAAAATCCAGACTCTGGCTCGCTGGGAGCACGATGTCCTCCCGGCGCGCTGCCCTGCGGTGCCAGGGGCAGGACCTGTCTCCTTGAGAGTCGTCCTCGGGTGGCAGCAGCACCTTGTGCTGGGGTTTTGTCTTGCCCAGGCACTCCTGAGCCAAGCCTTTTGCTTCTGAAGGAGGCACTTGGGGTCAGTAACCTCAGCCGGGCTGCGGAAGGGAATGTGTGGGGCCTTACAGTGTTTCTTTGGGCTCGATTGCCTTGTCTGAACCGGGGCCCTTGCTCAGGACAGGGTACAGCGGTGGAGAGGGAAGCTGCAGTCTGAGCAAGCCAGCACTGTATGGTCTGGGCCGAGTTTAGCTGAACATGACACCCCACCCTTGTTTCTACCGCTCAGAGCCACCAGCTTGATTTTTAAAATCAGGACAAACCTGTCCTCGTGTGTGACTTGTTTGTGGCCCACCTCTGGATACCAGGGTGGGCTCGGGGCTGCTTCGGTGTTGGGGAAAGTGCCCCCAGCTCCCTGCCGTGGTGGTTCAGCTGCCGATGCAAAGGGCCCTGCCGTTGCTCCTTTTGCCACTTGTCATGGTCAGCACTGGCCAAGAGATGGTGCCTCTCCCGTGTGTCTTTGCTGCTGCTCTGCAAGGCTTGTAAAACTCCTACAGAGCCACAGCTGTAAGGGGGCTCGGGAGGCTTCAGCTCTCCTTTTTGGGGCAAATGGGCTTTTTTCTCTGTTCAGATAAAGGGGGTTCCCCCGTGCTTTGAGGTGATGGGTCAAAAGGGCTCCTGGATCCACGGCTGGGAGCTGCAGAAGTGTTGGTGCCTTCTGCGAAGAGCAGGGTTGGGGCAGGGCCGTGGTTCCAGGGAACCTTCCCCTCTCACTCGGGGTCAGGGAGGCTTTAGCCCTCCTGTTTGTGGCCCACCGGTGTTTAACCTTGAGGTGGGCTACTCAGGCAACCAACGCAACTGGGTTTTGCAGCCCAGCTGGGGCTGCACTGGTGGAATTGCAGTCGTGGGGCATTTGGGGGCTCAAGCCTCAACAGGGAAAGGCAGGGAGGCCCCGAGGGAGCTGGGGCCCCTCGGGCTGAGCTGGTGCCTTGGCGGGGGCCAGGGGGCTTTACCAGAGGGGCCTTAGTACAGACTCAGGGGTCAGACCCGCTGTGGGACGGGTTGGGGTGGGAGGATGGGAACGGAACCAGCACTTTGTAAGAGCAGCAGATAAAGGGCTGTCGTGGAGGTAGAACCCAGGAGGCTCCTAGGAGAGCTCCTGGGGTTGGGGGGGACATAACCACGTCCACCGAGCGACTCCTGCAGCACCCGTCCGTCCCTGGGAGGAGGGAGCGGTGCCTCAGGGTGCGGTTTTCTGCTGTTCACTTTTCATCGGGGTGAGAATAATGTCATGTGCTTTAAAGAAAAACAAAGTACACCTTTGGTTATTTAAATAAAGGAGACTCCTGGTCTTGTGTGGGAGCGCTGCTGTGGGAGGAAGAAGGGTGCTGAGCCCTCGGCTATTGCAGGGGGTGGGTTTGGTGACCCAGGGGCAAGGGCAGGTTCCTGTCCCCACCCTGTGCTCCCCAGGCAGAAGGGCTGTGCTGCTAACCTGGCCTGAACTAGGGGGACAGCCACCCGCAGGGGCCTCTGGCAGGGGAGGAGGAAGGTGGTGCCTGTGTTAAAGCAGGGCCTCGCCGCAAGCACCCTCCGGGCCAGTCCTGATGCAGCAGGAGGTTTTATTTTGGTACAACCCCTTCAGCTCTCCGCTGGAGGCAAGTAGGGAAGCGTTGTACCAGGTTGGCTCCCTCTGCTCAGCTCTACTGGTCCTTGGGCCTGAGCAGAACGGTGCTGGGGGGAGGTAGGAGCGTGTGGCTGCCGTGTCTGGCAGGGGCCGGCTAACGCAGCAGCTGGTGGCCATGCCCGTAAGCACCGCCCTCGCACAGGGGACTGTCCCTCCCTCCTTGGCACAACCCAGGGGCAGAGGTTTGTCCCTGCCTGTTCTGTGCCGATGGTGGGCACGTCGCAGGGAAGGGTTTGCTAACTCAAGTCAAACCAGACCCTCTGCGCCTTCAGGCCCATGGGGAAGCCTTGTTACCGCTGCGGTTCTCCAAAATACGGGATTTGTCCCCAGGTTTTTGGTGGGGGCAGCAGCTGCCCTGCCCAGGCCAGGTCTGTGCTCCCCTGGGCAGGCAGCATGACCGCCCCGTGCCCCCAGGTCCTGGGGGGATGATGTCCCAGGGTAACGCTCAGTAAAAACCAGGCAAAGCTGGGCACCACGCGGCTTCGCGTACAGCCGGTCTCCCTGGCACAGCCAGGCACTAACGGCGTGAGGTAAGGTATTTTATTTTCTGCCTCTCCAGCAAGGAAGGGGGTGAGATGCTGAGGGCTCAGAGTCCAGTTTGGAAGTAACTGTATGACCGTTGATAAGGTGACTTGGAAGAGAAAATGATGGAGGTGCTGATGGGAAACCAGCCTTCTCCTGCTACCCTCTGCCTTCCTGTCGGTGCTGCAGCTTCATCCCCAGCCTGGGGCTGGAGGGTGAGATAAGAGCTGTGGATGCACTCGGCTAGAGTTCATTCCTGCAGGAACCTGAGGAAATGGGGAAAAAACAAAAATAATCCAGCGATGTTGTTAGCCTGGGTTCAGTTTGTCTCCTTCCCCAAGAAGGATGAGGTTGACCTCAACCTCTGTGAATGTCACCCCCGCTTTCCCTTTGCCAGCCCCCCAGGCTGGCTCTGTCCTGCCGTGTTTGGGAGCCCAGCGTGGCGCTGGCTCCGTGTGACAGGGAGTGGGAGCAGGTGCTGCTGGTCCCCGAGGGCCCCAGTGCCCGGGGAGCCACCTGGGCTGGGGACGGGGCGGTGGTGACACAGCCCCACACAGTGGGGAGCCTACAACACCCCCCCCTGCCCCAAGCAGGGACAGCCTGGGCTGACGTGGGGATGAATCAGACTTGGTGGGGGCTAAAATGGTTCTGGCCTAAAGGGATCCGACCTCGAGCCTTTAAAGAAGAGAGAACGGTTTTCAGTCCTTACGCGCATCCCCACTGCGCAGACAATTGGAGGGTGCAGCTGTATCTTTGCACTCAGTTGTGAAATGCTTTGCAAAGCACAGAAAATGGACGGTTACTTCACTCTCCATGGGATGCCCTGCAAGCCCTCGCCCTTGCTGGAGCGTGAACGGAGAGTCTTGTGTCCTCCAGGGACCTTCAAGACCCTGAGAGGGACAAAAACAAGTTTTGCTTGCTGGAACGGGCTTGGCAGAAGTTAATTTGAGGATTTTGGAGTCATCCCCTGGAATAAATCCATGTTACCTTGTGATACTGCTCACATTCCTCGGTGCTGTCACTAATAATATGTACAGGGCAATACCAGGAAACTCGTTCTGCTGGAACACTCAGTGGTTCTGATCATTACCCTTTTCCGAGATGTTTTTTAAGTGTCTATTTGCAGCTACTTAGTCTTCAAACAAGTTCTTTGAAGTCTTTTATATCTAAGCCATTACTGCAAGCAGTGAACTGGGACGTGACATGCCCTCAAACAGTTTTTCCCCTTCAATCTTTCCAAGCACCTTCACCCCTCTGTGTGAGCGCCAGGCTGCTGCTTCACAGCAGCTCCCGAGCTGGGCGTCTTTGACTGGAATTATTTAGTAAAACGAACTTTGCAAAGAGCTCGCAAAGAAAAAATAAAGTCTTCATGTGGTTTGTGCTCTACCCTGCCTCAAGCTGCAGTGCTGGGGCGGGAGAGCGCCGCCTCGGGGACCCGAGCGCTGCCCCGCTCTGGGGTGCTGCAGAACCCCCCAACTTCAGCCATTTCACTCTGCCTCGTGTCTCTTGTTCAGAGTTTGCTACTCAGGAGACCCTCTCTGCTCCGCTGCTTGGACCGGACTTCAAAAAAGAAATGCCTAAAACTTCCCAGGCTCGTAAATCTGCCAACTTCTGCACACTCCCCCAACTTCCCTGATGGACTTTTTTTTTGGACTGTTAATTTCCTAAGAACTGGGGTTTCTTTTCTGAGGAGTCAGTTGTACCAGCACAGGAACCTGCACAGATGGGTGAGGGTGCCGGTCGCGAGCCGTGACCTGCTGCTCGGAGCGGGCTCCCTCCGCTTCTGCCCCAGAGCCCCGTTTCCATGTGCCAGTCTCAGGATTTTTGGCTGCTACAAGGGCAGTCAGATGGCGCAGCCATAGCAACAGCTTTGAAATGAAACTAATGGGCTGTTTGTGTTCATCTTCTATTAATTACAGGCTGCTGAGCTGGAGGGAAATATAGATTAATAGGGGCATGTGCGTTACTGATCTCGCTGGCCCGCATCTGCTCACCGTGGCCAGCCTGGGTGGAGTGAAATGCTTCAACCCCGCTTTTTCCTGGCACTTACACGTCTCCAGCCGCTCCTCGAGGAAGGAGATCTGCTCGCTGAGGGAGTCGATTCTGTCCAGCTGCTGGAGGGAGTGGGACAGCCGGCTGATGGGGTCTGCGCCGACGTCCTCCGGCGCGGATGGCATGAGGTTGTGGAAGGGGGCCAGCACCAGCTGGAGTTTCTGCAGGGAGAAGCGGAGCCCTGAGTGTGTGTCCCCGCAGCCAGGAGGACCACCCGACGCGATGGAACACGCTGCCTGCAGGGCTGCACCCCACCGGGGTAAATTTGGGTGCATTCAAAGGGCCGCTGGGCTGAAATTGCTGCTGCGTGGGTGCTGCCGGCAGCGTGGAGCACAGCTGGGATCGCTGCGGCGTGAGGCCAGCGCGGTGTTAAAAATAGAGCCGGGGTGGAGGGAAACTCTGGCTGCTATCGGCCCTGGGTGGGAGCTGGCTGAGCGCGGCCTTGAGCTGCAACAGGGGCAGGGCAGAGCTGTGGGCTGAAAGCTCACCTGCTCCAGCGCTTCCACTCTGCTCCTCAGGTCTTTCATTTCTTCCTTCATTTCACTGGGGGGACCTGAAAAAGGGACCAAAAGAAGCCCATTGCCTGAGGTGAAGTGGAAGGTAGAGACAGGGGAGAGACATTGCTGCAGGGCTCAGGCCAAGCTCTGCTGCTTTCTGCTCCCCTCCTAGTGAGCCCCCGGGGTCTGCCCTGCTGGAACCAGCCCCCGGGGCATCAATTGGATCCAACGCCCGCTGCAAGCGCTGCATCTAGTCCTGCTGCTAACACACACAAGCCTCTCCTTGCTGCTGGAGTACCTGCAACAAAGCAGGGGAATTTTTCAGGCAGTGGGGTGATGCTTAAAGGATAAGATGTCTGGCAAAGCCTGGCCTTTCATGGGTTGTCAGATCAGTTAGCACCTGGGTCTGCCCCATCCCATGGGGGGCACAAAGGATCGTCCCTGCTGAGGGCCCTGGATGGGGGATAAAAGCAGGTGGCTTGTGGGGCACGTCTGGACGGTGTCCTGCTCTCCCAGGCGTTTGCTGCGTGATGCCAGTGCTGGCCACAGCGCATTATTACTCACGGTACGAGTTTGAAGTGTCACAGCGCGTACCAAAAGTAATAATGGGCCGTCACCAGCGGCGCCCGCTGTTCCTCGTGGCTCCAGACCTGCCCTGCGGGAAGGACGATGACGATGGAGAGAACAGCCACATCCCAGCCCCCGCATGCTGCAGCCAGGCTCTGTCACCTCTGCAGATGGAGCAGTGGCTGGATTTGTGCGCAGGGGAGGTTGGGTGGGTGGTAGAGGGACTCCTGGGTCACTGAGAATAAAGCTGAGGGGTTCTGCCTGTCATCCCTCCTCCTGCTCCAGCCACCCTGCGATGCTGAGTGTTAATCCCAGCTTCCAGCGAAGGCCCTGAGCAGCCAGGGCTGTCCTGCAGCGGCGGGGGGGACAGGTTACCTGCTTGGCTGAAGGTTTCTGGCTCGGGGGCTGGCACCAGGGGCTGGCACGTCTTGTCGTCGGCAGCGAGGCTGAAGCCGTCCTGGCAGGCGCAGCGGTAGCTCCCGGCTGTGTTGATGCAGAGCTGACCGCATCCATGGCTCTGGTCGGCACATTCGTCCACATCTGAAACCACAGGGAGGGCTCAGCGAGGGCAGGAGGGGCGAGGAGGTGCTTACCGGGGCCGAGGGGCTCAGCTTAGGCCCAGCGGGACCCCGGCGAGGGCCCAGGCCACACGCCCCAGGCTGAGCC